CCTGGTCTGTGAAAAAAACCTCCTGCCCATTACCTGACTGATTCTGCTGTCACAGAACAATCACAGACCCTAATGGCAGCTGGTGAACTTCCTTTTTGATTCTCTTTTACTTTTACCACATCTAGGTAAAAGCAAGCTTTTATGCAGTCCTGGTTAGGACCATATCTAGCTGACTATAAGTTTCCGGCCGTTCCTTAACTGATAATTATCACAAAATTGAGGCCATCTCTTTGTACTGTATTTTACTTTTTTTTTGTTTTTTAAAGGAAGATCGTTTCTTTTATACAATATAGTTTAAGATGACTGTTATTTCATTATATATCACTGGCATAAACTTAAGTATTGTCATGCTGAGGCCTCAAATCAAAGTATTTATTCAGTGTAAACTGAATATTTTGCTTAAGTTTTGGGGAGTGCATGCATCTTACACTGTGCAGAGCTTCTTGTCTACTATTTATTCTAAAGCAATCAAATCAACAACATCTCCCATTGATCAAATAATGACACTATTGCTATTATACCTAGTAAATAACTTTAATCTCTGATCATTTACAAGTAGCGTGTAAATTTGAAAGATAATGGTGTAAAAAGGTATGCAAAAAATATAAGCAGATATAACAAAATAATAACAAAAATAATGCACATTCCTTAATTTCAAGTAAATAAGACACTGTTACTCTAAACTTAGTACTCCTTTTTGCACTTGACACCCTGTCTATGGATTGCCAAGAGATAAAAGTGGCAAATCTTCTACGCTTTTATCATTTGTACTCCGAAAGTATTGAAATTTGTTTTTCATAATACCAAAATGCAAACCATTAGCTGGTTTATAATATACAATATATCGCCTGTACAAAGTCTCAGTGTCCTAGGACTATTTGCCCTCGTATGAGCCTTACTTCAGTTTCTGATAAGATTTCAAGAGCTTTGCACCAACTGTTTCATGTCTGCCTGTGGAGAAAAAAAAAAAACAAACAAAAAAACATACCACCAAAGTTCATTTAGCAAGCAGTTACACACATATAGTACTTTTTAAAATCTGTGTCTTTTCAGAAACTGGCCTGTATTTGCAGAAATTCATGCACATGCAAGTCAGGAGTGAAATCAACCCCACCTGACCCATCAGCATAGATGCCAAGCAACACACAAGTCTCTCCTGTATCACAAACTATCATGATTTGGCCTTCACTTCTCACAGGTGACACATTCAGATGACCTCATCACCAATGCTGAGGGCAATCGGATGCTAACAGTCCCATTCCTAGAGTCACTAAGTGCTCTCAGCCTCCTGAGGTCCATAGGCCCACTGCACTAAAGAACACTTCAACCATAAAACTCAAACACTATAGAAAACTTGAAAACGTGTACAAGAGTAGGCACATGGTCGTCTCTTGCATCTTATGAAAAATTCTTTTTACTTTCCCTACCAAACACCTGAACAATCATGAAAACGCATGACTAGCTCACAACCAAAAGCAAACCCCTATTTCCTTATTCCTCCAGGAATGCTATCAGAAGAAAACTCAGTAAATACAATTAACTCTGATCAATGTCACGCAGGTGACACACTTTCTAAGAGGATGTAGTAACTTGATTTGAATGTTGACTTACAACTCAGTCATCCCAGCTAGTAGTACAGTCATTATATTCATAATTTTCTAAAATCAACATACCACCACCTAATCTAAGGATCACTACCACAGCAATTACTAACAACAGTCCACTAATAACACACCAAAAAGTAGCAATATACTAATAAAAGGTCTTATTAGCCTTTAACAAAACAGTAATTTTGCAAGAAAAAAAAATCTTGCCTCCAGGAAACTAAAAAAAATTAAAAATAGTGTTTTGCAACATGCATGACACATGCCTAGGTCTACCCATGCCAGAATGAATATAGGTTGAAAGAGACTTGAAAACAGAAATAGACTCACAAGTTCTTATTTAGCTTTGATTACAGAGAAGTTTAAATTTCTGACTTGTTCTTGACTTTCCTTTGACTAAGTCCATTCACCTTTCCAATCTTCCCATGAAAATCCTGCTAATTTGAGGGAAATTAAGATATATATATAGTAGCAAAACGCCCTGAGATTTACCTTCAGCCAACTCTGTTACCAATAACAACAGTTAACAGAATGAAGTGCCGAAGACTAATACAAATTGCTATAAATAAGCTGAAAATAGGTTTTAGCTCATTCTGGCCCACCACTGGATAATACAATCTATGAAAAGTATGTTCACTGTTCAATGGGTAGGAAAAGAGTGAGGTAAGAAATTTTACATGGTTAAAATCTAAGACAAATTCTTTTTTTTTAAAAAAAAAGTAGAAGATGGATTGCCTGAAAATCTAGAAAGAACACAGTGTGACGGAATCAATAAAAAGGGTAGGGAGTTACTTGCATAATAGATAATATATATTTAACAAACCTGGGAACCCCTCCTGCACAATCAGCAGAAAGCACTAAACAATGAGGACAACAGAGCAGATAATATATCGAGATTACTTCTGCAAAAACCGGATGTGCAGAATCCAAACCAGTACACTGTTATTATTGCACACAGAAATTATGGTGTGTAATAACTGCCCTACCTTAAGAACAGATGTAAGAATTCATTAAGTTCCCTTGCGAGAAGGAAACGGGCAGAAAATGCATTCAGAATATAGTCTCCAAAAAACCCCAAACAAAACCAGAGAGTCATATTTCTCAGCAGAGAAACTGTCTTCTGCTTTATGAAAACCTGAAACACCACCAATTTCACTTGCTAACCAAAACAACCTACCACACACTCTGATTTTTAGCTCCCAAAGCTTGCACGTGTCTGCTTGTTCCCCCACTGATGCAGGTATAATTGCAGTTCCCTTAATGAACTTAGAGATTCCCATGATAAGAGGCCCTAGAAAACACTATCCAATTAACTTCCTAAATCCAGATTTTACACTGGCTGGTAGTTCTTGCCATCGGATTGGGGGTTTTTTTGCTATTACTGAAGTTAAATATAATCTCTTTCAACCTTAATCCAAAAGAATCAAACTCCAAACATATCACAAATTTGCAAAACTCACTTAAGAAGCAGACGGTTTCTTTTCTTAAGAAACTGTCTTGAGAAAACTTGAAAGAAACTTGAGACTGAAGTGGTGCCCCAGTCTTACACCCTGCACATTCGAAATGGCAGTTATAGTTATTTCCTTTCCAACCATTCCTACGAGAAAAGTGCACACTTTCTAGGGGAAAAAAAATACTGTTTGGGTTCATTCTCCAAAAACCAAAGTTCCTTCTGGGGTGAAAATCACAAGTAAGATTTCTACATCATATTTTGTTATACATTTGAGTAATTAATTGTTTTGCAAGTGTAACTTAAAACAGGTTCTGTCCCTAAACTTAAGGCATAGTCCTAGTAAAAAAGTAAACAGCTACCATTATTAAAGGAAAACACAGATGAAAAAGAAAAAAATAAAGGCAAGAATAATGCAATAATGCAGAGATTAAAGATAACTTAAAAAAATCACAGTAAAGATACAAAAAGCCATCATATAAGTGCAGGGGCAGAAAAGTAAAACTTTCTTCAATATGAAAAAGAACTAAATGGCAAAGACTTACAAGAAATAAAGATGAACAGCAATTCTAGCAAAACTAAAATTCTAGCTTAAATATAGTCTAATTGGTTTGAATGAAACAAAAGCTCCCCGACTCAGAGAAACAGTGCTCTGACACACAAACAATATTGAAATCTATCTTTCAAAATCTGTAATGCAAAGGGTAGACTTGATTTAAGTCCTAAATCTTAAAATGAGCAATTAAAACCCCATAGAAATAATTTGGAATCTCCTACTAATACATTTCTCAAGCCAAAGAATCCATATCCGTCTTTTAAACATGATAGGCTGCGTGTGATCAGCATGCAATAAAGCAGTTTAAGTTAGTATTATCTCCAATTCTGATATTTCTCAGTGTATTAAAAGAGGGGTGCTCTGCCAGCGGAATAAAGTTAACACTGAAGTGTGGTTTGCCACAATGAAAGCAGCACTCGGGTAGCAAATAACTGTTGCCAATTTTGTTTATAAAATAAATTGCATACAAAAATATAGCAGAACTAATTTCACAGAGTTCACAGGCCTTGCTGGGCCAATTCAAACCACGAGCCCATGGGGTCTGACATCCTGGCTCTTCCCATTTATCAACACCTCACGCTTCGGAGGAAATTGAAAAGTGTGCACCGAGGGAGCTGTAAGAGTTGCCATGAGGTCTGGCCCAAAGCAAAAGCTGTTCTCAGCATCTAGTTCAGGCACTTTAGCAAACCACATTTACCTCATTCAGATGTACAGGGCGATTCAGTAAGTACCCACTATGTGGAAAATTGACTGTGGACAAAGTTCAGTCACTTGGGAGTTGAAACCGTACAAAACAAAATCTTCAGTGTAACTTTAAAGCAGCTGTGTGACATCACCTTCAGCCCTGCACAGTTTGTGGAAAAACAGATGACTGGATTTTTCTCAAACTTCTCAAGAAAACACCGAAAGCTAGAGACTGTAACCAAAGCAAACGGAAAAGGGAAGTGGCCCAACAACTAACAGCAGTCAATATTTTCTCCTTGCCAAATTAAAAGCGCTCAGAAAGCGTCAGGATGGGTTTTGGATGGTCAAGAGGGGCAGGAGGAGGACAAGAAACAGAACATCTCCCTGCAGCCCAACAATCACACATCCATCGGCCCCAAGAGAGTCTGTGAGCATCTGAGCAAAACGCCCAACCTCTCCCTCCCTGGGTGAGGGTCTTTGTGAAATCTCATTCTCACATTTCAGCTCTGGGCTGAGATCAAGCGTGCAGACTCAGTCAAAAACCTCCTGAAGGATCAGAGTTCTGGCCACGGTCAGCGAACGTCAGCTAATCCCTGCTCATATAATAAAAGTTAAAATTCCACTGTTTAAGTCATTATTCTTGCAAATATATTCCATTCCTGGAACAGGCCTTACAGTTAGAGACTGTGTATAATAACATGGATACCCTGCTTGTGATGTTGATGGCGGTGTCAGACTGGCTCCTCCTTTGCTTCCTTCTTTCCATGTGCTGCCCATAATCTGTGGTTAGCAGACTTCTGTCAGCCATATCGTTCTGGGACTTGGAGATTTCTGAAGTGAAAATAAAAAGAGAAGTCACCATGATAAACGTTGCAAGCAATCCTGTAGGATTTACGGGTTAATTCTGTAGCTTTCAAACTTTCATCCTACAATTTAAGTATTGATCTCCTAAGGATAAGAAACAGATGGGAAAGCAAACACTTGTCCCATTTTTGCATAATTATATTTTGCCTACCTAAATCTTTCCTGCTGTTTCAACTGGAAATTATACTCCTTGCTTCCTATCATTATAGCCTCTGCAAGGAATTGTAGTATGCTCTCAAATACAGTTTCCTTGCAGAAGGAGCTACTACAGTCCCTATATATAGTTTGATCTGTAAAGCAGTTTGGTTTGGTTCAGCATAAAAGCAAGATCATTATAACAACATAAAGCAACATGACAATGAGAATTGGAAAGCAGAGCCTCTTGGAAAATATTTAGACATTTATCCAAAATATGGATGAAAGGAGAGATATTACATACTCTGGTCCCAAAACACATATAATTTTAAGAACATGAGTAGCCCTTATTCACTTTAATAACATTACTCATATGGATAAGCTTATGCCCATACTTAAGTACCTTATTGAATTACCACTTCAGTAGCATCTAGTTTATTGTCAAATAAATCTATAGGACAATTGGACATTTAGTGCACCACTCTCTGCTTCCTAATCCTCAGGGTACAGTCAGAACTTCACTTAAAGAGAAGGGCAGCACCCATCTGTGATTTCTGGAGTTGAAAACTATGAAGCTTAGCAGCAGACACTTTGTCGTAAATCCCAGATAGTCTCTCATGAAGAATTAAAAACTTATAAGTGGTACATGAAAGTTTAATTCATACAGACGAAATAAATATTTCTCCCACAACATGGGCCTCTGTGGAGGAACCTCAGACAGCAGACAATTTGTCATTACGGTATTCAAAAACAATGGCATTCTCAAGTGTGATTTTTAAATCCACTTTGGGTTAGTTTTGCTCTTAGCAGCAATCAGTCCTCAGATGTTTACTGTACTCTGTGTACACCATTAAGGCATCATGTGACATATTCATAGGCAGGCTCAATTAAGTAATCTCTGACTGTAAATGAAACCAGTTTTTTAAAATACACAGTGAAATCAGAGATCATAAAGGAGACTGGAGTGAGGGATCTAATAGAGTAGATAGAATCTGAGTAGCTTGACCAGCAGTAGAAGCAGAAACACTAGCTTGTCTCACACTCTCTTAAAATGAACAGGTTACAGAGCAGATTACTGTGAGAAAAAAAATATGATTTTTCAGTTTTCTTGTCTCTTCCTCCTTTGGCTTCTCTACCCAAATGGTCAGTAAGACAGACGCTGTCTCTAGGACCAAGAACGATTTTGCACTGCAAATAAAACTACAACTACCAACTCATTTTACATTCACCAAATGGTAACCATTGGATTATGATCTTCTGCTGCTGCCAGATCAGGCTGGAACAGGAGGTAACAGCGTAAAGAGCAGACTGTACAGGGGCAGCATTGTGCTGCACACGCTGGTGCTTTGTTCCTGCTGCTCTCAGACACACACACACACACTGGCTCCAGTGATCCCATCGGAGGCATATCGAGGTTCTCCAGGTTTATTTACTGCAATACACAAGAGCTGGGTGTATTAAATACCTCTGCAAACCAGGACATTTTTTATCTAGATAAGATATACAGTACTAACTTTATACACTCGTGACCGAAAGTATTTATCAGCAGAGCACCAGGTTTCATTAAGAGGCCATGTTGCCTGAAAGAGCCATTTTCTTAAGTCAAGAAGCCCAAGTCTTTCTCTCTACAAGTCTTCCTATACTTCTTAATTATTGACTTCAGTGACTGCAACAGCCTGTTATTTTCTCAGAAATTAAAAGGATCTGCCCTGACTGAGGATGATGGTATCTAAGTGGGGTTTCACATACAGCTGAACTAACAACTTGCCATCACAACAACAATTAACATCACCCTCTGCAACCACTGCTATTCCCTCCTCAGTCCTGGCTCCTGGGTACGTGGCCCAGCACCTTCTGTTGTGCAGTCTCCAACATAGACACCCTACCTTGAGCCTATTCAACTCACTAAACCAGCAGAAAAGTACCTGTGTCTTTTGTCTGGGTTAAGGTCCTGCCCTTTTAATTAGCTAAATCGGTTTCCAGAGGGGGTCCAGAAACACTAGTGCTAATTCAAGTGAAGCGATGGCAGCATAAAGCCAGAAACAGAGAGGGAAGAAAGATTTAGGCACAGTAGGACCTTCCTTTTGGTAGCAGTGAACTATTAAACTTGCTTGCTGCAGTCCTGACAGTGTTTACCAGTAACTGTGGGATATGACCAGGCTTCAGACTTCCAGAAAGCAGAATAAATTACTTTGCATCCAATCCTGTGCTATCTGCTTCCAGTAACAAAGAATCCCATGCCACAATACACTACACTGCTGTTCAGGAGTGTCTCTGCCTAGCTTTAATATGTATTCACACAAACACAACTTGAAATTTTTGTAGTTCAAGGAGAACAGGCCTTTAGGATGGATGGAAGAAGTTAGAGGAAAGACCAAACGAGCTAAAACAAGAGTTAGGGAGAAAAAGGCACTAAAGCCAAATTTTTTCAGGTCTAATCTCACATTTGGGGTTGTCTTAGATGAAGCTAGTAAGAAAACACTATGGTTTGTTCAAATACATGCAAATCTGCAAGTCCCTGTAATCTTCCTGAGGCTCAGAAGATGTTGTCCTCTGGTCACTGATGCCTTTAATCTGTTCTTCACAAAGACAGGCTGTCCCCAGTGTAATCAGCCATCGAGGTGCATAAACAGTCTGCACCCTAAAAACAGCAGGTAGCGTAAGTGAATGGAAGGAACCAACAGTATCAGAATGACAGAAGAGTTGTGAGGACTGGCTGGCTCTTAGAAGTTTGCACTGGAGAAAACCCACACAACTAGACCGACTGAGAAAAAGGAAGGAAGCTCTTCTTGAAAACTGCCAGTGAATGAAAACATTCAACTCTACTTCCATTACATGACAGATTCTTTGACAGGGTCAGTTGGGGTTCAGTCAGATAGATAACAGCAAGATCACTACAGCAGAAAGTGGTTACTACTCTGTGCCAACATGAGTTAAATATGCTGCATCTGACCATCCTGTAGACTTAAAAAATAAATAAATAAATGACAGTCTTTTGACATCTTTACAAAAAAGGCATTCTAGGTTGGTATCACCAGCTTGTTAAACAACCAACAGATTACTGTATTATTTTTCAGGTTGGCTCAGTCTTGGCATTAGTCATTTCAGCCGTTACTCAATACCCTTTGCTTATAACTATTTTTTGGCCAAAAAATTGAAACATTTGACTACATTATTCCAGAATGACAAAGCAGTGAAAGCTACTTACTTTTTATATGTGTTGTGAAACACAAAAACAAGTTTTCCACAGATTTATTAAAACTTTTAGACTCTCTGAGTTCCTGCAAATGAGAGATGCCAAGAATAAGAAAACACAAGATATTTGCTGTTTCCAAGTTTCCACGATCACATATCTACAGACCACATAACAGTCAGATGGTAAGGCTGCAGCCCTTTGCTCACTTCTATAGACAAATACACCTGAGGACATATGTTGACATGGTTAAAAACTACCACACTAATGTTTGAAGATGGAAAATAGTCTTTTCAGTTCCATACTCTTTGATATACAAGTGGAACTCCTTGTAGGAAGATCGCATAGCAATTTCATAAATACAACTAATTACAGCACTGATTTGTTGTAATGCATTTAATAGTTCAAGTAGAAAAATCCTATCTACTTGAACATGTTCCTGTGCCTCTGAATCAAAGGGTTTTCATCAAACTCCAGTTAGCCACATATTACAATGTTTACATAATTGCAATGTGCTCCAAAACCAAGGACTCAGGGCTCAGACCAAAATAAACTGAAATAGTAATTTTGTGCAATTTCAATGAGTTCCAAGTCATGTCCTACTATTCTGTCCACTAGAAACTGAAATGCAAAGGCAACCATCAAGTTCACTGTTTTTCACTCAGTAATGGAAGTAACATGGAACGATCACTTTATAAATGACTATTGAATTTCATAGGATCTAGCAATTCTTCAGGCTGGAGGAGAGCTTAGGACACCTCAGTCCAGCCTTATGTAGTGAGGCACCAAAACCCAGGGGCAGTATTCTAGTGCCAAATAGAGTGGTTAATCACTTCCCTCAAAAACTGAAAACCAATTGAACACATCCCTCATGATAAGACTCTGACCTTTCTCTCCTACTACCAATGCAGTATTAAAAACAAAAACCAAAAAAAAGACAAAGGAACATAAGGCAGCATTTATATTGCAATGCAGTTGTTATCTACTGGCCTTTTCATATGAATGACACCCTAAGAGGTGTGTGTATACATATATTTTGCAGATACGTACATTTACTGTCACGTTGCTTCCTGCTGTGGATTCTGTGAAAGGAGGTGGGGTTGGAGGCACGACAGAAATTTTACTAGAAATTTAAGAGACAATAAACAGTGCAATGATTAATACATTATGCTAATAGATAGATAAACAAACCACATTCGTGCACAGTATCTTTATTATCTGTCTTTCCTGCAGTCTGAAAAATCTGGCTTGAGATCCTGTGTCATTAAGAGCTGCAGCACAGTTTATTGCCTGTCTGTAAGAATTAGGACTACCTTTCTGTTTTCTCAATCTTGGGCTGCTCTGGGCAGAACTACTAATTTAAAACAATTACAAAAAACTAATTTAGGACAGGCTTCCTAGATTTGTACTGGGGTTGGCAGTATTATAATCTCTGTCCCAAATGTTAAAACACAATTCCTGTGTAACACGCCCCATTCTCTGTTTCAGAGATGTTTTCAGAAAACAGTCATCTTTATTTACAATACTAAAAGGATCCTTCCTTGCCTGAGCCTGGAGCTGTTGGAGCCCCTTCAGAGCATTCCAGCCATTTCATCTGGGGTAAATAGCCCTGGTCTGTGAAAAAAACCTCCTGCCCATTACCTGACTGATTCTGCTGTCACAGAACAATCACAGACCCTAATGGCAGCTGGTGAACTTCCTTTTTGATTCTCTTTTACTTTTACCACATCTAGGTAAAAGCAAGCTTTTATGCAGTCCTGGTTAGGACCATATCTAGCTGACTATAAGTTTCCGGCCGTTCCTTAACTGATAATTATCACAAAATTGAGGCCATCTCTTTGTACTGTATTTTACTTTTTTTTTGTTTTTTAAAGGAAGATCGTTTCTTTTATACAATATAGTTTAAGATGACTGTTATTTCATTATATATCACTGGCATAAACTTAAGTATTGTCATGCTGAGGCCTCAAATCAAAGTATTTATTCAGTGTAAACTGAATATTTTGCTTAAGTTTTGGGGAGTGCATGCATCTTACACTGTGCAGAGCTTCTTGTCTACTATTTATTCTAAAGCAATCAAATCAACATCTCCCATTGATCAAATAATGACACTATTGCTATTATACCTAGTAAATAACTTTAATCTCTGATCATTTACAAGTAGCGTGTAAATTTGAAAGATAATGGTGTAAAAAGGTATGCAAAAAATATAAGCAGATATAACAAAATAATAACAAAAATAATGCACATTCCTTAATTTCAAGTAAATAAGACACTGTTACTCTAAACTTAGTACTCCTTTTTGCACTTGACACCCTGTCTATGGATTGCCAAGAGATAAAAGTGGCAAATCTTCTACGCTTTTATCATTTGTACTCCGAAAGTATTGAAATTTGTTTTTCATAATACCAAAATGCAAACCATTAGCTGGTTTATAATATACAATATATCGCCTGTACAAAGTCTCAGTGTCCTAGGACTATTTGCCCTCGTATGAGCCTTACTTCAGTTTCTGATAAGATTTCAAGAGCTTTGCACCAACTGTTTCATGTCTGCCTGTGGAGAAAAAAAAAAAACAAACAAAAAAACATACCACCAAAGTTCATTTAGCAAGCAGTTACACACATATAGTACTTTTTAAAATCTGTGTCTTTTCAGAAACTGGCCTGTATTTGCAGAAATTCATGCACATGCAAGTCAGGAGTGAAATCAACCCCACCTGACCCATCAGCATAGATGCCAAGCAACACACAAGTCTCTCCTGTATCACAAACTATCATGATTTGGCCTTCACTTCTCACAGGTGACACATTCAGATGACCTCATCACCAATGCTGAGGGCAATCGGATGCTAACAGTCCCATTCCTAGAGTCACTAAGTGCTCTCAGCCTCCTGAGGTCCATAGGCCCACTGCACTAAAGAACACTTCAACCATAAAACTCAAACACTATAGAAAACTTGAAAACGTGTACAAGAGTAGGCACATGGTCGTCTCTTGCATCTTATGAAAAATTCTTTTTACTTTCCCTACCAAACACCTGAACAATCATGAAAACGCATGACTAGCTCACAACCAAAAGCAAACCCCTTTGCTAGGGCCATCCCTGTGGGGAAACAGCAACCATGTCACCTTCTTCTGGTGAGCACCCACACGATGTAAAGAGCACCGAGGAGCGAGCGCTCCACCAGGCACGAGCAATGAAGACTCATAAAAATGTAGTTTGCTCCTGAGTGATTGCCAACAGGAAGAAGGGCTAAATGCATGTAACAAATGGCCAACTGAAAATATCTGGAGTGGCCTTAGTCACTAATCATCCCTAATAGAGAAAGCAGCATGTGGTCTGTGCTTTGCTGAAGATGTTGTTAATTATAACATATTACTTGCATACGAGTAGCAGATCTTGGTGGTGGTAGAAACAATAATCAGCTTTGGATGTTGCAAATTTCAATCCGAACTCCAGAGTTAATATTCTGCTATTACTATTTGGTATCTTAATGCAGCATTATGTGATTTCTTAGATTTTTTATTTATTAATCAGTAAGACAATCTACCACTTTTATGAAAAGATGGTGTTTTTTCTTTAGGTAGAAGCTACACAAAATTAATGAAAAGCATACTGATGTAACTTTTTTTTTAAAAAACTCTGTAACATGAGAAAACTTCACTGTAACATGTACTTTTTCAGTTAAACTTTACAGTGAATACCTCACTTGTGTTATATTCTCAAACCAGAAGAGGGCACTGTCTCTCCAGGCTTGAAGGATACATAACTACTACCGCTGTGTTTTAAAAGTTTGTCATTTTTGAACCTTTTTAATTACATCAGTTGGTCTAATCAAAGGAACTGAACAAAACATATTTCTCCCTACAGGTTTATCTTCTGTATATCCTATAGATCTTTGTGAATTCAACATAATTACTATTAGATGAACTTAGCTAAATGCTTCATGTACCCAACAAAGCTTTGATAATGCAAGGTGAGAACTCAATTATTTTACTGAAAAGAGGGGTAGTCAGTATCTTGCAATATCAGATTCGGTGTCTGAGAACAATAGGTACAGTGCTTTCCTTTTTAACTGCTATTTTCAAACCTAGATCCCATGCAGATACTGGAAATGAAACTGTAACTTTTAGCTACAGCCAGGCACAAAGTGAAATAGCTGCCCCTCTGAAGTGATGCTTCAAGGGAAAGACTAAGGAAATCTTCTCCACCTTAGTAGTCACTGTAGGTGAAAAAGAAGACTAGCAACCCCTTTGTTGGTGAAGCACATTCCCCATAGGGCAATCCCTCCACATCCTCTGAAATATCCTTTAGGGCTTTGCAATTGCACTGAAAAGATGGAAGACGAGGCAATGGCACAACTGGCTGAAAGTAAAGAAACAGAAAGCATTTAGCTTTCTGTTGTTTTATAGATATACATATTTTTCTTTATTCCATTATGTCATTTCTTTAAGCTTTAGAACTTTCTCAGTGAAAACAACTGAAGTTTTAACTTTGACAAACCATGGATGCAAGGTCATTTCCTTCCTGCACATATATTTTAACATTTCTGTATTTATTTCGTGTCATTGTATTTCTTAGAAGCCTTACATACTCGTTTATTCAAATTGATATGACCAGCAATTTTCTTATTACTCATACAAAATAATTTATGCTTTTAAATGCATTCTGCTAGTTCGTGTTCATGCTTTATTTATTGCACAGACAAATGCACTGTGTGATAATTTCTGACAAATCTCTCAGCAGGTTGAAGAAACATTAACTTCAGTGGCAGACTACATTCTGTGTTTCACTTAGATGAGGACTACACATTGCACAGCAGTTTATGGTCTGTTCCAGTGATTACCTTCACCTGGATATTTCTTTGCTCGCTCCTCAAAGAACCATTCACCAGCCTTTACCTTCACATCTCTGAAAAACAAGCAAAAGACAACTGAATCAACATTTTCCAAATTGCATTTCTTCAAATGTTTGATAACCATTTAGCAATCCAACAACCCTTCTTAATCCTACCATAAAACTAGGATTTCATGACTGCTCACTCCATTGACTGATTTTGCCCTGGGTCTGCAAACAAAGGATTCCTCCCCTCCATTTTTTTTCCTCTTTTTGCTATGTAGGACTGCCCATGGAAAGCAATATGTGCTGCTCTAGGCAGCCAGGAGTCCTGGGTCTACTCCAGTCTATACAACCAACTTGCCTAACAGCCCCAGGCACTTGTGCTGACACACCAGCTCCCAAGCAGGACTTGGGATGGCTACCAGGGAACACTGAGCTCCACAACCCTGATAGTGTGACGGCTCCATGGTCCATCTCTCTGCATTTTGTGGAGGCTAACATCAATGATGTCCACATCATACCCAGGCACCAGGATCACAGGATGAGAAAAGTAACAATTAACAAGTATAAAAAAAAAAAAAAATCAGACCAAATAGTTCTGTCAAGAGCAGATTTTCAGCAGATTTGACTCTTGCATATTGTTGTCTCCAACTGAATTAGATGACGTCTGCAATCCGAGCTCATCCATTAATAAAGAGGTAAAAAAATTCTCTGAGGAGAGGATTCTCTGGAGCCTTCAGGTTCCAAATCCTCATCTAAATGTCTTACTAATTTTTACGGCATACATAATATCTCTGTTCCTTGTGGATTTTCTGATGCTTTTTATAGAATGAAGTCCCACTGTAAAAAAGTCCTCATTGCAGGCACTGCTAAACTTTCTTCTCTACCCACTAGTTCATTTTCCTTCTATGAAATTAATCTTTTTATTACCGTTCCCTCTGCCAAACGTGCTTGAAACTGGCAACAACATACAGATAGTAAATTCCAACCTCTTCCAGTGTCTCACCACCCTCACAGGAAAGAATTTCTTTATAGTATCTAATCTAAATCTCCCTGCTTTCAATTTAAAATCCTTACCCCTCATCCTATCACTACATTCCCTGATCAAGAGTCCCTCCCCATCTCTCCTGTAGCCCCTTTAGGGACTGGAAGGGGCTCTAAGGTCTCCCCGGAGCCTTCTCTTCTCCAGGCTGAACAACCCCAACTCTCTCAGCCTGTCCCCATAGTAAAGGTGCTCCAGCCCTCTGATCATTTTCATGGCCCTGGTGTCTAGTTCCTTCTATGAAATTAATCTTTTTATTACCATTCCCTCTGCCAAACGTGCTTGAAATTGGCAACAACATACAGATAGTAAATTCATGTAGGGCTTGCCTCCTTAACAAAGAAAAGTCTCTAAACATGAGAGTTATACTGACTTCCACCAAAGGCCAGGCAACAAGACCCCTGGGTCTGCCACTTCACACCCCACCTTGCTCTGTTAAGATAGACAAACTACAGGTAGGATTCCATTTGCTCTTTCTGTGGCTTGATTTTTAAGGCATTTTAGGCATTTAAAATACACCTTTGTAAGTAGGAAAGCAGAATATTTAAAAAAAAAAATAAATAAAAATCACTACCTGTATAGATTATACTATTTATTTTCATGCCTAACCATAGATCCTTGTGCATAACTGAACACAGAGGAGTTTGAAAATTACATTAAAATAACTGAGACAGGATACTTATTTACATTGGACAGATATCTATTAACTAATAATTGTCTGAAATCTCTAGCTGCATTAGATCTTCAAGGGCGCTGCCTTTCTAGTACCTCAATTTTCATCTCCAGCTTTCCCTTTATGTTCTTCCCACTATCCATGGTTATCTTCCCAGAGTTTAATCTCCAGTTTTGCACAGGTTCATGTGATGATTAGACCACTCACAGGATGAAAAGAGATCTGGAAATTCCCTCTTTTTCTTTTTTTTTTTCCCAGGCTAAAGAGTGTATTAAGCTCAGCTATGACCAAAAGTATGACAATGAAGCTGATAAAGATGTATCCTTGTCAGGTAAAATAGATTAACCTCCTTCAAATCAAATGTCTTTCTAAACTCCTAGAAGACAGGATTCTTTAAAAAAAAAAAAAAATTGCACTATATCAATTCCATTCGCATAAGAGATGCCTCTCCAGGTGAAGGATACAAAGTTTGTCAGTCCACAAGTCTTTTTAAATTTCTTATTTTGTAAACAACAAACATTCACCTATCCCTGTTCTTCCACTAATGCCTTTGAGCATGTTTGTTACAAACACAGAATCATAGAATGGTTTGAGTTGGAAGAGACCTTAAAGATCAAGTCCTCATTGCAGGCACTGCTAAACTTTCTTCTCTACCCACTAGTTCATTTTCCTTCTATGAAATTAATCTTTTTATTACCGTTCCCTCTGCCAAACGTGCTTGAAACTGGCAACAACATACAGATAGTAAATTCCAACCTCTTCCAGTGTCTCACCACCCTCACAGGAAAGAATTTCTTTATAGTATCTAATCTAAATCTCCCTGCTTTCAATTTAAAATCCTTACCCCTCATCCTATCACTACATTCCCTGATCAAGAGTCCCTCCCCATCTCTCCTGTAGCCCCTTTAGGGACTGGAAGGGGCTCTAAGGTCTCCCCGGAGCCTTCTCTTCTCCAGGCTGAACAACCCCAACTCTCTCAGCCTGTCCCCATAGTAGCTGAACAACCCCAACTCTCTCAGGCTGTCCCCACAGTAGAGGTGCTCCAGCTCTCTGATCATTTTCATGGCCCTAGTGTCTAAGAGAGAATCTCCTAATGCTACTGCTGATAATGTTTTATTCAGGAAAAAATACTTTACTGGTAACCAAGTGACAAAAATATGGTTGCTCAGGACCTGAAAATCAGCTCTTACATTTCTTAGTCATCCTGTTTTTCTCTCACTGGGGTAAACAAAAGGTGCTGAGTAACATTTACCACTGCTGCACCCCCTACCCTTCTTGAGATTTGCAGCCTTTATGAAAACTCAATGAAGGCAACGGAAGAAGTCTGACCTATTTTAATGGCCTTGACATCACAGCTAAACAAGATCAAGTGTGCTCTTTGCTAGAAAGAGAACTTTAATGACAGCTGAAGAATTCCTCTATATTCACAAGACAAAAGAAAAAAAAATTCCTCAAGAAAAACTAAAACTGTCTTTTATTTCATTTAAATAATGCTTTCCTCGTTTTGCCATTAAATAGCCAGACAAGCTTATGAAATAATTAAGGGTGCACAGCACTATACAAGGCAGCTTAACAACTAGCTACTCTCTCTGGGGGATTTCCATTGTGGCCACCAAATAACTGGAAACCAATTTAAAAGAAGAGGAAGTGGAGGGAGGTATCTAGAGGAGGATACGGCAAGTTGATTTTTCAACCTTTCCTTTTTGTGCTTACAGTGTGAAACACAGATAGTGAAATATATGCATCAAAATTTAGTAACTGGTTAGTATCAAACATAAATGGATCTAATTGTCTATTTTATTATAAGCTAGAAAATAAACTGAGGATTCGGAGAACATATTTTTAGTGATAGTTCATAGTGTCTTCCAAACTATAGAAAATTACTTCAAACTAGTGGTAGAAATTCATTTAGCTTAAGACCAGTATCTTGCCTTATAATAATGGCTGAGAAATGTATCTCATTTGGGCATCTTAAGAGGGAGTGAAGCGGTGCATTAATCTTGTGTTGGCATAAAGTAAAATTTCATCCAAATCCTCACCCTTTGTACAGGGATCTATATCTTCCAGCACAACTGTTGATTCAGTTTCAAAACTATATTTCTTTGCCTACATAATATTATTTTTTACCAAAGGTAGAAATATAGCTAAACCCTTTGGTTTAGAAAGATTCTGAAAAACAGGAGCAACTACAATGGAGTATTTTGATATAAAATATAGGTTCCCCACTCCTATAGTATGAGGCAAAAAAAACCCCACGATTAGGAAATTATCAAGAAATTGGCTATACTACACCAAAACCACAGCACCTTCAGCAACTTGTTATGATGCACTGGTTCCACATTGAGTCAGGGGAAGGAGTTTTAAATTAACAACTGTGCCTATTTGCCATTATCTTTGTCACACCACCTCTGGCTTACCTTGAGGATCCATTCTGCTAAATACAGGGAGGGAAATCCTGACCACGTGAGGCATAACACAAAATTCCCATCAACTTTATTGCTGCCAGGACTTCATCCAACATTTCCACTCTGCCGGGGGCTTCGTTTCACTAATTGCTTGAAGCGACAGATGCCCACAAAACCAGCGCGTGTTCAGTGGATAACTGGTGTAAACTGGCACTTACCCAAACCAGTAAAATTTCTTACCCGTGAGCGTAGCAAACGGTGCATTTCCAAAGGCAGGGGCTGAGGCAGACACGGCACTCGGAGCACACTCGGTGGCTGCACCCGGTGCAGACTGCACCTCTGTTCATCAACAGCCCGAGCGACTTCTGACAGCGAGCGCAAGACCTCTCCTGGTATTCATGGCTTACATCTCTTCCCCCTTTCCACCGAAGCTGCTGCAGCTGCAGATTCAGCTTCCTAATCCCCCAGGCCAAACAAACACACACACAAAAAGGGAAAAAAAAAAAAAGAGATAATTAAATAGACCAACCCCCCCCCATGTAAGTCACAAGCTAATACCCTGTCATTACTAGTGGGAGACATACCCTCAAGCCTGACTTCAACTGAGCATCACCTGGAAGTGTCCTAAACACAGCATTTTTGCACTGTGAGTGTATACACAACCACAGCTGTGCATACAGAGTAGGAGTCTAGTCTATATATACATATATATACACATACATATATATAGGGTTCTGTTCATGTCAGTTATGCATGCTGAGGGCAGTGCACCTAAATTGTGTTTGCAAGTGATTCACGTACAAAAAATGAGACTATATGGTGCTCCTTTTCATCTGATGATTTTTTTTTTAAATTTTATTTATCCAAGAATCAAATCTCCTATCATGTAAGAATAATCATAACAAACGCATCACCTGAAAGTTAAAAAATAACATCAGACCAAAATATCAAAACCTCTCCCTTTCCTTAACTTTGCTTCCATTACACATACCAATACCCAAGATCTATGTTTTTAATTGTTAGCCACATCATCAACAGTTGTCAGGATTTTCTAACCCATTCAGACTTTCTTTATAACCCTTTACATACTTTTCACACTCATTTAATATATCCAGGAATACTTACATAAATGTTTGTTGTAAACTAAGTTTCTACATTTAAGAGGCTAAAATTTTCTAACTTAGCAACACAGATGCCCCTTTTTACATGGGGATGCAATGTGACAAAGCAGGGTAAAAGCTGTAAGGAAATCCTTGCCTTAGCTCTGATATAAAGCAAATAAAATCCTTCACAACTGAGATACTTGCATAATGTGAAATAATTAAATAGAATCCTTTTCCTAACCAATGATGTGTATTAACACCAGCAACAACTTCCAAGACAGGGTGATGTGCTTGGAGCCTGTCGTATGTGAGAAGGGACACAGACAGATTCAGCACAGTGAGCAGCTATCCAATGATTCTTAACTCCAGTTTTGGCACAGCATAATTTAAATAAGCCAATCAAAGATCTGAACCTGTTCTGTGATTCTGTGACTTTAAATGGATACATAGGAACATGATAAGAATGCCATAAAGCCTTCATAGGAAAAATACAGGCAGCAACTGAACTTTCTATGAAGGCTGGAAGTAAAATTCATTAAGTAGATTACTCACTGAACAGTATTTGTTCATCTTTCCTGTAGTCATTAGTAACAGTAAATCCAAGAGGCTCTGGATAACCCTTAGTTCTCCCAAAGAATAAAAAGGCATTAGCTAACAAGAAGTAAAAAAAAAAAAAAGAATACATTTGGAAGGACAGCAAAGAGGAAGAATACTTCTGAGCAAAAAGGAGAGAAATACAGGAATAGGGCAGTGGCAGATACCTTATTCTTTCCTCCTCTGTTTTTCTCACCATCTGGTCACGGTACAGGACTTCCAGAACCGCCTCTCGCTCCAGTTCCTTAAGGAAGCTTAGATTAATTTCACAGGCCATTTTTGCCAAACTTCACGTATTTTGTAGACTCCTGTCCTATGGTTCTAGTACATCCAGAACAATGGATACTGCTTTATAGAGTATAATGTGGTCTGAGTGCTTACTAAGTGCCCGTGCCCTGACTTGATTGGTGATATGTTTCACTGTGTCATATCCTTGAAGAGAAAAATAACCGTGCCTGGCTTCACACAAGGCATCATTTAAGTGTCTCTGGGAATATGAACAGTTAGCGAGGTCACTGCAGTCTTGTCTTTTTCACATGAAAGAACTTCTTGTACTTTTCTTTCTTTCTTTTTTTCTGAGAGTGGTTCCAAAGGAGATGAGAGCTTGCAGCAAGGTCCCAAATAGGGCTTTAACTGTCACCAGATGGAGAAACAATTCACCAAGAGATGGTGTAAAGGAGTTGGGGGGATGGTTTGCTTTATTTGTCTTGTAGACTTGGGATTTTCAGACCTAGGGAAATAAGAATACATGTTATTATTTCCTCTCTTCCACTTTTCAAGACATTTCAACTGGCACGTGAAGACCACATTTTGCTATACACGGACCTTTCAAGCACTAATTCAGATACAGGAAAGATTTAAGACAGTCCCGTTCTTCAGACAGTCTCACTACATTGTCCATTAACATTCAGCCATGCATCTTCATATTTTCTGTACAGTCAATGTGAAACAAACAATAAAGAAGCTTAAGTCAGTTTTGAACACAGGCCTACAGGCCCCATGACTGGAAAAGTCATATTGGTTGAGACAGAAGTGCCCCTTTCTAATTTCATCTTACTGAAAAGACAAAACATCAGAAACCAAAGAGGAAAGAGGGAAAGACACTCTCTAAGGGTCCCTTCTATCAATTACCTATGTCTGTTAAGTCTAGATAAACAGCTTAATACCCAATAATGCTATCATCCTTATTAATACACACAAACACTAAAGAGTTAAGGTATATATTATTTCCAGCTCAACGCACTAACAATTTTTGCCCCAAACTGATGATACTAATGTACAATATACGAGAAGTATAAAATTAAAACAGAATCACACCTGTATTCTGGATATAATCTGTGACCTTCACTTGTACTACTCCCACTGAAATAGAAAATAATTTTAGTATACTTTGCAGCAAAGCAGAAAGATAAATGATTATTCAATCTAATTTAATTATTAATACTACTGTCTAGCATGTATTACAAGAAATGTAAGAGAGCTCCACTTATGGTACACCAAATATTAAAGATGTGTATATGAAAATTGGCTGAACTAAATGCATACAGCCAGCCTCTGGACAGAAGCTCTACACACTAGGACCGAAGGGTAAAGCTTTCCCAAAGCAGTTTCTGATGCTTCACTGATAGACCTCGGCTGAATCTGACCAACAATCTGCACTGCTGGACCATCATTTTAAAATACTGTGAGTTTAAAGTTTAAAAAAAAAACCACCACAAAAACACAAAAACAACAACAAAAAAAACCAAACATCAAAACTTCAGATATATAATGACAATATATTTTTGTCTGTGCTGGAAATTATTTTATATACAGCTTGCTCCAATTAAGTTACTTAATTTCATACAAAGCAACAGGAGGTGATGAATTGTATTTATAAACAGTATGCATTCTGTTCTTTTATAATTTTTCATTAAACCCTTCAACAGACACCAAAAGGACAAAGCACATCACAGAAGCGGTGTTAACAAAGAAAAAAAAAAATAAAAAGATTGGTTTCCTGTGGAAACAAAAGAGAGAGAGATAAGCGTAATCATATTTTATTTCCTTACCAACTGCAATTTCACAGGAAATTACTCAGTTGAAACCTAAAAAGCCTGAGCAATTTTTTAACACGATACATGTAATTTTCAAAGGCCTCTACATCCTTCACCTGCTTTCATCTTTTACCTCAAGAATACCTCATCTGCCAGGACTGATGAGCATTTTTAAAGCCTTCAACTCCATTTAGGTCAATATAATATGAAAGAGCAGTTGGTACAAACTCAGGGACCTCTGCACTATATAGATACCAAAACACCCGTTACAGCGTTAAGTTACACTTTCTATAAACTCTTAGGATTTCCAGAGGCTAGCACATCTACAATGGCATCAGAAAATCCCTCTGAAGCATTAGTAAAAGCTAGCAAATTCATCATAGTTATTACTAGGTGGATCAAATAAAACTGCTCTAGTGATCTTAAAGACAATATATATTGTCCTACTAAGAATGTGCCACTGTAAAACAGTTACTAAGAGCAACATCTGTAGTTAAGCAAGCACAGAAATAGTTGCTATTTGATAGCTTCTTCAAATTCTTTTAAAAAGGACTACCTCTCTTCTTCATACAAGAACACAAAGTTTTCGATATTTCAAGCCTGTTTTGTTTGGGAAATGGGTTTCAAATGCCATCTTAGTCTACGAAAAATGCTGAGAGCATAGAAAATCTTATTCAGAGATGCATATAAATTTTTAAAAATTTATGATTTCAGCTATTCAAGCTTGCATAGATTTAAATGGTGCAAGGGAAGGAACGGCTTGGAGCCTCCCCTTGTTTCCACTTTGTCTTGTTCTCAGCAATTCTCCCCAGGAGACACGGTTTCTGCCCTAGCCAGGGCAGGATTCTTCAGGAGGGCATTCAGCCTCAGCCCACCAGTGATACTGCAAACACCATCATCAAAACCAGTTGGTCTGTTGCTACCCTTCATATCCTATCCACAGTGATAAATCTGGACATTCTAGTAATGGTTGTTTGTTTGGCTTCTTCATGAAGATTTAAATTCAGACAGTCATTGTGTTCTGTCAATTTTTCTTGCGCAATCAAACTCAAAATCTAGCTTAATGACAAGGTAGCTTTAAGAATAAATAAAGTACTGTATCTGCCAAAACGGGGGATGATCCTTGTGCCCCACAACAGACTTTCCTAACAGAAAAAAGCGCCTTTCTAACACCATATCTGTCTGCATCAGGTTAGTTTTTTGGCAGTAATAAAGAAGTGGCAGTAATAAAAAAGTGGTGTTCTCAGTAATGATGCTCCTTGACAGGAAAAAACAATATTAAAAACAGATGTCCTACTTTCATATTTACCCACCAAATCCAGCTAGCTAGCTGTTTTACAGTTAGTTAACCTCAGAGCCAAGCACCTTGTACGTAAAACCAAAAGCAACACTAACCTTTTCAGTCAATACCACATCGCTTCTCCCTTTTCTGCACAAAACTCTCACAAAATATTTTGTTCAAGCATTATTTTAAATTACGTATTTAAAATTAACCAGTGTCAGGCACCTTGCAGATGGATCAGCAGCTTTCTGAAACTACCATGTGAAGTCTTAAAGACATAACAATGGAGATGGGACAACCAACATGGTCATGTCTTAGGAGAGGAAGGCGTGCACGCACACAAGGCAAGCTCAGCAGACTATGCTTTTTTTTCCTCTTATATCAGGCTAAAATAGCATGTTATGCGACTGAAGAGCAATCAAAAGGCTTACCTAAGACAAGACTAAGTTTGCAAAAGGTTTCTTAAGTTTTTGAACTTAGAAATGCCTGATTTAGCGAGCTACTTTTTCTCAAAGCAATTCTGCATGTAATATATTATCGATGTTCTTTCATATCCTTAAGCATTAGCAAAATAATGACAATTAAATAAGTATAAATAAACTGATCCTCTAAAGTCACAGCCTTCATTGACTTGAGATAACTGGATTACTTCATCCATTAACCCAGAAGACAGATGTAACACATCAGTAGCTAGGACACAGGTTAAGGAGGGTCAGAGTAAAAATGATCACAAAAGCTCCTGGAATTTATGGTTATTTTCTACTTATTTATTCTATACTACCTGTCTGCAACAATCGTATTTTCACACCCTTGCATACACACATGCAAATTATTTACAACTTCTTTGATAATGTTTTACCAAAGTTATGTCTTGTGATTTTAATAACATCCCAGCCCAGCATTTAAAGTAAAAAAAAAAAAAAACAAAACATGTTTTTAAGTTCCAGTTGTGGTATTTCCATGAAATCTTTGCAGTCTAAAAATCATCATCCCAGTAAGTAAAAAATGCATCGCCCTGTGCAATGTCATACAGGATAGATTAAAAAGATGTCCTTACCTTTTCAGCAGCCATCAAAGAAAGATGCTGGGAAGTACCCTGCTTTTAAGAGATGAGTAGCACTCTTACTATTTATCTTTCCTTAAAGAAAACTGGTGGCTGTTCTCCACCCCCTTTCCTTCCTTTGGGTACCAAAATTAGAAAGATGTATATACAGAGGAACATCCCCAAAACAGCTAAAAGCAAACACACTCAAAGAAGAACTCTAGTATTACAACAGCTTTTGCCAAGTCTCTGTTTTTGTTACCAGCGACAGCAACTGACAATCAAAGACCAGTTATTCATTTTTCTAACATTAAAAAGAGACTCAGCACAAGAGACTATAAAAGGTGACTGATATCATCAAAATACGCTCAGTCTTCAAGCCACACACAGGAAGAGAAGCGGCTTTGAGCTCTACATTTCTTTTTCTGATACTATAGATGTGAAAATGCTACTAACCTCAGTGTCCCCAGGACTCGCACAGAAAACTCCACTTGTTTCGTAAATGGTTCTTCCTGAAAGCAAAATAGTTTTCTATTCAAGTCTGAATGACAAAGCAATCAGTACAGATAAAAGTTCAAAAGAATTCTTTTTTTATGTATGCAAAGGAGAAAATTATTTTACCTCTGAACTGGAAATCTGATCTCAGATAAGGATTAAAAGTTAAAACATTATTTGGATTGGCTATCCCAATTCATTCTATTACAGAACCAAGTGTGAGTAACGAAGCTCAAAATTACATCCAAATTATTTCAAAATCTGGAAAGGAGAAGTTTTTCTTGCAGGTCAATCCCCTTTCTTGTTCTGCACTCTACCAGATAAACTTAAAAACCATTGTTTTTTAAAGACAAAAAAAGCACTGCAATTCTATTCACATGGCAAGATTAAACAGCCTGCAGCTGTATAACCTTATTAAGGTAAATAGGTTTAACATTTCCACCTGTGTTTGTCAGCTGTATCACCAAAGAGAAAGCAATTGTTTGTGGGGCAAGGAGTTATACTCAACGAAGAAAATTTGGGTGATTTGGGCCTTAATTTCAGGCAAAACTTTAACTAAATGAACAACCGGAAATAACCTGAGGATTGTAACTACCCCCAGCGACAGATTTGTAGTATCACAAACCCAGGCTGAGGAACATCACCCCTACCATGAGTTTGCCCCTAATATTTAACCAAAGTCTTAACGGCCACGCTTTTAACTCATTGTATTTTTCCCCTCTCGCCCCTGGAGATGGAAAACTGCTGCAGTATGTTATACCTGATGACAGTATAACCAAGTCATAGCCTTTTATTCTTTTAGATAAACAAGCACTGCTTGTTCAGCCTCGCTGTCTTGTCTCTGCTTTTCTGCCCGGCAGGAGCAGGGAGGTCTCAGAGCGGGGCCAAAGGTGAGCTCAGCAGCCATCTTCAGCCCTGCTGCATCCCAGGGCAGGTTGCTGCCTGCAGGGTGACCACATAAAGCCAGGTCAGGGTCTTCTTCTGCAGGAGAAGGAGGACTGGAGACAAGGCTGAAGTGTAGGGCTGAGGTCCATCCCAGAGACCGGCCCGGAGCAGAGGGCACAGTGTTACCACAAACCGGCAGATAAAACTTTCTAAGACTCAATTTAAAGTTTTAGAAAGCAGACATTCTTTATTGCAGCGCTGGGTGCACAGGGGATAGCTCCTCCTATTGTGCGCCCCGAATGCTGTTGTCAAATTAAATTTATACACAACAGGTATACAGTTTCAATGTAATTCCAAGAAAACATTAGCATATTCATTACATTTCCCAGAATTCATTTACATATTATAATAAGCTTTTGGGCATATGTAGTTGTGCCTTCTGGTGGTCCTCATTTTGAGTGAGGGTTGTTTCTTCCTCAATCTTCATCTTCTTCAGCTGTCCTTTGGCTCACTTTTCATGTTGGCAAAACATTCTGACTGCTTAATTGCTCATTAAAACTAATGATTTCTCTGCTATCACCTGTTTGTCAGACAATGTCCATCTTTATTACATCCCTGTCTTAGGTCACCATGTTCTCAGGGCCACCATACATCCTTTCTTATCTTACGAAGTTCTTGAAACAGTTTGGGATGGTTACTAAAATAGCTACATTTCTTCTCTAAAAGAAGATTCTCTACAGTTTAACCGTTTATAAAGTACATAAAACCCTCCTTAGGTATCAGCAGGGGAGGAGGCCATGGCTGAGGCCCCTTGGTGCATTCAGGTCTGGAGGCCTTAATTCCCACCACCTTCTCGAAATGCAACACCTGAAGCTGGACATGGCATTCCTCGTGGCAGAGAATGCAGCAGGAAGGCTGCTTCCTACCCCCAGCAAGCTATACGTCCATTTGCACCTCTCGGTGTGGCATTTTTTTTTTTTGACAGCACCATAGCATAAACCAAGGTAAATCATGCCTAATACATCCCCCTGCTCTCTTGTCTGTGGAATGGCTACTGAGTGAGCTGGTCCTGCCCTGTCTGCACTTACAGAGCTGGTTATTCCTGTCTCAGTACAGGCTTTTGCCCCCAGGTAAAGTTATTTTCTCCTTTGTTGGGGACTATTTCTCCAGTTCATCCAGGCCACGCTGAAGCTGAAGAGCATCTTCCACTGTTTCCATCGTCTCTCGCAGGTTGGTAACATCAGTCATTTGGGCAATCTGTAAACACCGCGCACACACACACAAACCTCATAAACTGTGAAAAGCATGCCCTTTAATTTAATTGTCCAGGTTCTGACTCTGGCTGCTAAAAATAATGGGATCTGCCTAGAACTGTAAGAATCATAGAATGGTTAGGGTTGGAAGGGACCTTAAAGATCATCCAGTTCCAACCCCCCTGCCATGGGCAGGGACACCTCCCACCAGACCAGGTTGCTCAAAGCCCCATCCAGCCTGGCCTTGAACCCCTCCAGGGATGGGGCAACCACAGCTTCTCTGGGCAACCTGTTCCAGTGCCTCACCACCCTCACAGCAAAGAATTTCTTTATAGTATCTAATGTAAGTCTCCCCTCTTCCAATTTAAAACTGTTACCCCTTGTCCTGTCACTACACTCCCTGACAAAGAGTCCCTCTCTGCTCTCCTGTAGCTCCCTTCAGATATCAGAAGACCACTAGAAGGTCTCTCTGGAGCCTTCTCCTCTCCAGGCTGAACAACCCCAGCTGTATGAAGAACACGTGTATTCTCCACTGCTCTCCTGTAGCTCCCTTCAGATATCAGAAGACCACTAGAAGGTCTCTCTGGAGCCTTCTCCTCTCCAGGCTGAACAACCCCAGCTGTATGAAGAACACGTGTATTCTCCACGGGTTTCCATGGGTTGGTTTCCTTTCAGCTCCTGGGCACTCATGGCATGCTCAGCCCTTCTTTCCAAGCTCTGTTTCCCAAAACAGGACACAGGTCCCCCCCCTAGAATCCACCCCTCCGCCCTCCAGCACGCCCGCTGGAGACACAATCACCACGCTATCCCCATGGAAAAAACAAAACCCTTGCACGCCGCAACTTCCTCCCTCTCTAGAATCCACCCCTCCGCCCTCCAGCACGCCCACTGGAGACACAATCACCACGCTATCCCTATGC